GTGAGAAATAACTTCAGTGCCATGTTCAGAAAACTCCCATCAAAGGTCTGTTCTAAACACTTTGCATGGGAAGAGTTCCAGTCAATATGAGGCGTCTTAAAGTCGCCTATGATCAGGATATCCAGCCGCTTAACGAACTTTTCGAGCTCTTCCAGCAGGCGAGCGTCGGCCATGTTGTCCCCTCTCGGCAGTCGATAAACGAGACTAGGCGAGCTCGGCCTTTTAATAGACAGCCAGTTTGCCTCGGAACCGCACGAAAATTTATCAGTTTTGTCTGATACATTTATCCCATTTTTCACATACGTGATTACGCCTCCTCCCTGACGCCCTTCCTAACCCCTGTTAAACATCTGGTAGTCACGCAAGGCCAAATCACTGTCGTCCACGTGTTGGGTCAGCCAGGTTTCTATTAAGGAGATTATGTCAGGAGATAGATGGCAGAGGTGGATGTTCAGTTCGTCGAAATTTGATGGCAAACTCTGCACGTTGGTGTATAAGAATTTCAATTTCCGGCTGACGGAAGATGTGGTTACATTTTGGTGAGCGCCTTCACTTAAAATGTCAGCTGCGCGGTCATTCGGACCGGACCTGTCCAAAGGAAGATTGACGGACGCCAGCAAGAGGGCTTCAAATACTATTCATGATTACCATATTTTACGCGGCAAAGGTAAAGATAGTTTGACAAATTAGACCTCACATCAATGTCAATCTACTCCTATACTGGTTCCTGTGGAGCAGGATGTATTAGTTGTACGAGTCGACGCCTGCTCAAACCAATACAAGAGCAGCTTCTGGCATGGCTTGAAATAGGCCATACCAGGAGCATAAAGCTCTCCTTTCTCGCGCATGTTGTTGATTTCGGACATCGCGAAGCTTTAAGGTTCCATCGGGTTACCCTATGCTATTGGGCCAGCGCACGTTAGCAACAGCGGAAACGATCACCACCAGGTAACGAAAATTGATCTTGTGCGCACAGAAGAACCATGTCCAGGCTCCGCACCAAACGTGGCCGAAGGTCGACTAATCATGCGGCTCGCCGTGGCCTTCCGCTCTCACTCGATTCCTGGCATTGACCGTTATTATTCCAACATCCCGCCCATCCATATTCACACACGCAACCTGTGTTTTTGGGCGAACATTTAAGATTTATCTAACCACTGATACGTTTTCATTCATACGCCGCCCCATATAAATATGCCGGCCTGACAATAATTTATTGAAAGCAGACGCCAGCTTGCCGACTCGACTTCTGAGTAATAGTTATAGTGAGCTTTACCCAAGCCAAACTCTAAGCCTGGCCCCATTTTTAACAGAAACCAGTCCATAGTTTTAACCCTATCCATGTCCTTCACCCTTAGTTTAACTGCGTCACCATAATATACTGAATCCGAGCTAAATGAAAATTAATGTGAATTCATCTCTGTGCAACTACAACAGCTAGCACTATTGCTATAGTCCAAGAATACTTTAACGTCCACATAAACCAATCACGGAATCGAAGTTTTGCGCCAATAAGAAACGTGCTACCGCCGGCGACCCTATAAGGTTCATCCCGTGGGCAGGATAGGCTATCCAATACCCTCTTGGCTGTCTAGGCTTGTCGTAGGTGGTATTTTGATAGTTTCCTTATTTTTATCCTCGGTAAAAACAATTAGGCGTCCGTAGACCATTGTTTGGTACCGGTCCTAGGAATATTTCGGCCGCGACCCGACATATGAAAAAATTAACAGACTAAAATAATTACCTTCCTGGGTGGTAGCACAACCCATAGCCCAGTCCGTTCAATGATTCATTAGGCGTTTCTCGTATGCCTTGGATTGTATTATGTGGGTGGCAGTGATAACGAATTTACTATGATGTTCATGAACGACGATCTTAATAAAAGAGTAAAAGATAGAATATAAATGTCGAAGCCAACCGTTCCCCAGTAGCGATATGTCCGACAATAGGTTAATTGCATAATTCTGAGTGTGAATAATGATGGGCAGTATATTGCTCTTTGTATTCTTCTCTAGAACGAAATAACTTTAGACGGACGCTGTCTGTACTACTAGACATCCTATCGTAATTTTCACTCTCCACCACAGTTTTGTCAGCTGTCACGTTTTAGCCTATACTGTCTCGCGTAAGCTGGACTGCGAGTAGTCTAGTCAATGTAAATGGGGACGAGCCATTTGCGACCCAATCGCGAAAGATTGGAAATAGCAGGTGGTGTTGAGACGGCTCGTCGGCACCCCAACCTACTTCATCTCCGCAACTGACGATCATCTCCCCCTACCATAGCCCCTTTTCCACCCCTCACGACGTCTTGTGTTCTAATTGCATACCACTCCCTGTCGTCTCTTGTTCTGGTGTGCTAGCAATCACGCCCTCAGACAAAGCCTCCTCTATCAAATCATGTTTCTTTTATTTTACCCCCAAGACAGTTACAGTCACACTGATATTTATTTCACAAGTATTTCACATTCCTCTGGACTTGTGTTGGTCTGTCTGTTGTGATTATTCCTTGCCATCACCAATACACGAAAGACGAAAGATCAGGAGGAATTTTGATTTCGGGAGCTAACTATACTCCAGGCATCTTCCACCACCAGTTTACGGTAACCATGACGGATTTCGGTGATACGTTCTTAGAATATTTTTGGCCATTGTATGTATTAGTGAACTTGTGTAGGTCTCATCTCGTCATTACGCACACTCGAAAACTGCCTGACGACGATGATGACCTTTGCAACGACGGTGATGCGACTTCTACTGTGGCAGTTGCCGCACTTTGGCTTATCTCACAGGCGACGGAACCGGACTTGTAATGTACTGTGCACTCTTTCCATGTTTCGCCAGCCGCCTCACGGAACAAAGTCGTCACGATGTCAACAAAATCCTCATAATCTCCAACTGGAATGCCTCCCTCCTTCTGGGCACCTTCCTGTTCGATAATAATATTTCAAGTATTGGGTTTTTGCCAAACACATTTTGGTTATAAACTGTTTATTTTATAAACTTATAATTCTGCTCAAAATACAGCTTACAGCTTTATGTCCACTGAGTAACGCTTTGTGCAGGCAAACTTTAGAGCCGGTATTCTGCATAAAATTCCACTTTAATAAGCTTTTCTCGTTGGCGGCTCTCTGGAATACTTGAGCACTCTTCACCTATAAAATTCACCAGATCAGATAGCCGTTAGACAGACGTGTATTTACTAAACCTCCACGCCTACGCGATTATGGAAATTGTGCGCTTCGATCTTTACTTTTAACCAGTCATCGTCAACTACAGGAGGACGTCCCATGTTTAAATCTTGTGCTCATTAACTGTTCCATCAACGAATGTTTATTTACGTCTTCACACCTATTTCACCGCTGTTTATTCAAGTTTTGAACCCATTCGAAGATTGCTCTAACTTGCATCCTCGTCACCCTTTCAACAGGGAGTTAATTTTTATATGAAGTCATTGGAGTAAGTTGACGCAGCAGGAATTCTTTATAAATTCTGCATAACGTGGACATTAGCAGCTCCCTTACTTACAACTAATAAAAACAGCAAATCACTTTGACCCTGTAGTAAGTGCACAGAAACCGCACTCTGCCAGTGCGATCCTTGCATAAGGTTCACGATTTATCTGCACGCAGCGTCTAAACATTGTCATCGCACACGTCCGTTTCGTCGCAAATTTTGAAGCGTTGGCATCTGCTGACCTGGCAGCATTCAAGCAATGACTACAAACAATTGTTGTTTCACAAACATCCTTTTTCATAGTCCAAAGCGATTTCGTGGCATTGTGGGTCAAATTTATGTTCGGCGGTGTCGATGTCTTGTACCCAAGCAGCGGTATTTGTTCATCCACGTTGAAGTCTGCCGACCGCCATGAACCACTTTTTGAGCCTGCTTGCAAGTTCCAGAAACATCTTGCGGACCCGAGAGCTGAGCCGACGACATTCATACAGTGGATCGTCCCACCCTGGGACAGGCAGTCGATGGAGGTAACCGTAGCACCGCACGCCTGCTACCAGATCATCTTGACTCGAATATGGAGCTTGTTTGCATAACTGAAGCGTTAGCATGCATTGACTCGAAACGATTCAGGGAATTGTTTCAGCATCACTCTGCTTGCCAAACGTACTAATCCCTCGCCTTCTTTACACTGGGGAGTGCACCCCCAAGATGGTATAACTTTCATTGGGTTGACTGGACAGTAGTTATCTGCAAACGTGCGTGTGCCTTCTTAACCGACGAGAACATATAGTCTGGCCTGTGCCTTTCCGTCTCCAAAGGAGGAGTCAATACTTTGGATAACTAGGCAAAGTGATTATGGTCAACAGCTTCAGTAATAGTGGATCGGACATCATAGTGAAACTTGTGTATGCCTTTACGAATGGGCGGAGCTCTCTATCGTGTCCGGACGTTGGGGGAGGGGTAACTTGGGCAGTCCAGACGGAAACGACATTCATTGAAGTTGTCTGTTTTCGCTGGCTCTGCAGCAGTAAGATTGGGATCTGATGGGATTGGCCGAAGACAAAAGTTTAAATGCCCCCACACAACTTTTTGCTCAGGCGAACTAGAAAATTAGTTTTCGTGCT